TCTATGAGACTTCAAAAGAATATTGGTCGCCACAATCTTTTATCTTAACCTGAACATTTCCTTTCTATTTGTCCCAGGTCCTTCCTCTCCATTAGCCTGCCCAGCATACCTGGAGCGCCTGCAGATGGCAAACTGTGAGAAGTAGAAGTAGAAGCTAGAAAGCACTTCCCTAAAGGCAAGCACTTGCTAATCACAGGTCTTAGCTGAGGGAAGGGAAAGAGAAGACTTGTCTTTGAATCTTGTCAATGAAGATTGAAGTCTCTTGGACAGCACAAAGGATACAACTGGAATGGCTGTGAGAGGCCATTCATGAGAGGCAAAGCAGGTGGGAGTTGGAAGTGGTGAGCCAGGACTTTGGGCAATTTATCTTAGCAATCACTTGACTCCGATGACACCAGGCATGGAAAAGCCAATGCTGAATAGAATAACACTGGAAAATGAGAGTGAGTGGTTCACTGTGACCCCAATCCAAAAGAAATAGTCTAATAGGGGAATTTCAGTAACAAGCTGGAGGTGAGATACTTAAAGGTATAGGACCTTTTTCTTGTCCCTCAAATCCCAGTTTTTGACCAAATAATGGCAACTATATATATATGCCACTTGGGGTTAGTTTGGATCCTTCAAGAAGAGGCCAAGATTAGACATGCAAAAATGTCTTTGGAGGAAACATCTGTGAAGGGATGACTGGGGAGGAAGAAGATAGCAAGAGAAGTCAAGGAAAGTCTTCAGACTTCAATACAAATCTGACACCTGAGAAGAGACCCAAGAGGAAGGAGAATTGGGTAGGAAGAGTCTCAGACTAGAGCATAGTTCCAAGAAAGGGTTGGCCATGCGTGTGGGGAGTCCCCAAGCCAGTCATCCATGGAGGACCCCCACATCTTTCAGTAACAGGCCCACCTTGGTATTCCTGCCACGCTCAGTCATTGCCTGAGAGAAGCCCAACAGGAAGTGTGGCCCAAGTGCAAAAGTTTTGGTGGACTTAGAGGGGCAGCTGCTGGGATTGTCAATCCACTCTGCTACCTGTAGCAGGAGAGCCCTGTACCAGGCATATTTTTATAACCTCTGTAGTCCACTTCTTGTCCATCACAGATCTGCTTTTCCACATTGGCTAGGGAAGAGCTCCCCCATGGTTACCATGGGACTCTTTCCCTAAAGCATAACTCAGAAGACAGAGACTAGTGAGTGAATTACCATGCATCACTGTAGCTGGTCTCAGAGATGTAGCTGGCACTCCTCTCCCTCTTCTTCTATGCACTCTAAATTCTCCTCACCCTTCGTTATCACCTTGGCAGATCTTAATGATTTTCCTAATGGTATAACCCAAATCTTCATTTCCGAGGAGACTGAGCCCTTGACCATCATCTCGTTCTCAGACCAGAGTTCTTGCACTTATCTGTTCATAGTTACAACAGGGCAAGGGATTACCAGGAAGTGGCCAAGTGAATCACTTGGGTCCTGCACATATTCCTCCCTGCCTCCATTGTGTAACAGCAGCCCTATCTCCTGCGGATCCACATCAATTACTCCTGCCCCAAGACTGACTCATCTTCTGCCCTATTGGTCCCCTCTCCCTAGTTGGTCCCCTGTTGACCTCCTCTACCCTGTTGGTGCCCTGGTAGCAGCTGTAGCTTATAGTTCAATGTGGCCTTGTTGTGTCCACTGGAGAGAATGTGCCTTTTCTGGGGACAAAGACCTTCAACCTTTCAGAACCAACAATTGTGAGGATAAAAAATACAAACTCCCCAGGTGGGTCCCTGAAGTGATTGTAAATGGGGCCAATTATGAGTCTTCAGGAAGGAAAGGAAATAGTTAATGTATCTACTGCTTCCTGAAGGATAGAACCTCAGCCTTGCAAAGTGTTGCCTCTGAGCAGGTGCTTCAGCTGTGCCTTTTGAGGCTGTTCCAGGGCTCTGTGAGGCCAGTTGCTTCCGGGGGATGTGGTGTGTGATACCACCATGATCTGGGTCCATCCCTCACCCACTTCCCTACAAAACTGAGTCCCCTGGGTGCATTCTATGCCTGTGGATGGGCATTCTGTAAGCTCCTGGATAGTGGTCCTGGCCAAGGCTATGCAGACAGGAAGGGAAAATCCACACCTATGAGAACAAATCATTGGCCCTTTCTGTATAAAAGGTGCCCAGTGTAGTACATTTGGCTCCAAGTGGCTAGCTGGTCTCAGTGAGAAATAGTTCCATATCTGGGGCTCAGCATTGGTCTCTGCTGCTGACAGGTTGGATATTCAGAGGCGACAACTGTTGCGGGAAGTCAGGGACCCCAAATGAAGGGACCAGCTGGAGCCACAGCAGAGGAACATAAATTGTGAAGTTTTCATGGACATTTACCAGTTCCCAAATAATACTTTCATAATTTCTTATGCCTGTCTTACTTTAATCTCTTAATCCTGTTAGCTTCATAAGCTGAGGATGTACGTCACCTCAGGGCCACTATGATAATTGTGCTAACTGTACAAATTGATTGTAAAACATGTGTGTTTGAACAATATGAAATCAGTGCACCTTGAAAAAGAACAGAATAACAGCAATTTTAGGGAACAAGGGAAGATAACCATATGGTCTGACTGTCTGCGGGGTCAGACAAAAAGAGCCATATTTTTCTTCTTGCAGAGAGCCTATAAATGGATGTGCAAGTAGGGAAGATATCACTAAATTCTATTCCCAGCAAGGAATATTAATAATTAATACCCTGGGAAAGGAATGCATTCCTCGGGGGAGATCTATAAACAGCCGCTCTGGGAGTGTCTGTCTTATGCGGTTGAGATAAGGATTGAAATACGCCCTGGTCTCCTGCAGTACCCTCAGGCTTACTGGGATTGGGAGACCCCACCCTGGTAAATTTGAGGTCAGACCACTTCTGTGCTCTTGAACCTTGTTTTCTGTTGTTTAAGATGTTCATCAAGACAAAACGTGCACTGCTTAACATAGACCCTTATCAGTAATTTTGCTTTTGCCCTTTGCCTTGTGATCTTTATTGCCCTTTGCATTGTGATCTTTGTTGGACCCTTATCAGTAGTTCTCTTTTGCCTTTTGTCCTGTTTCCTCAGAAGCATGTGATCTTTGTTCTCCTTTTTTCCCTTTGAAGTATGTGATCTTGTGACCTACTCCCTGTTCTTGCACCCCTTCCCCTTTTGAAATCCTTAATAAAACTCGCTGATTTTGCAACTCAGGTGAGCATCACGGTCCTACTGATACGTGATGTCACCCCTGGAGGCCCAGCTGTAAAATTCCTCTCTTTGTACTTTTTCTCTTTATTTCTTAACTGACCGACACTTATGGAAAATAGAAAGAACCTATGTTGAAATATTGGGGGTGGGTTCCCCAATAGACAGCAGCTAGGTCAGCCTTGGTAAAGGGAAGTCCATGCTCTTGGATTCACTTGTAACTTCCATGTCTGCCATTATGGCACTCCATTAGAGCACTCCAGTCATGTGCCCATTGATCCAGTTCTGGGGTAGCCAATGACAAAGCTATCTAACATGAACTGGCCAAATTGTCTACTTGACTGTTCAGTGCCTCTCCCTTATGCTTTATGGTAGGTGATAAAGTGTAATAAAAAAGATCTTCACACTCTGTCCCCACCCCCATATGTTCACCCACATGCCTCTATCCCGACCTCCCTGCCTGTTATCTTCTCATCCTTTTCCATTCAGCCCTCTGACTACATGGCCTGGCCATTGGCTGCTGCAAAGAATATATATATATTCTCACCTCAGGTCAATTCTCCATCCAAAGTGGATGACAAGGTCCCTTGCTTACATGTGTTCCCATTCCCATGTACCTCCATGTGAGCAAGGTACCTCTGACTGTCTTCAAAGTCACATTTAAACGTGGTTATAATCCAGCTGTGGTCCACTTCTGGCTTTCACTCATGTACCAAGTTGACTATTCACAGACCAAGCTCAGGCCTTCTTCTGTTGCTTCAGTTTATCATATGAGAAATCCCACATAGCTATAGGCTTGGGTTGGGGAAGAGACATGATGGAACCCTGGCAGATAACATGGTGTTCTAGGCTGCATCCCCGTGCAGCTTACTCATGCCCTTAAACTGTGCTCAGGCTCAACACCAAAGATGCCATTTCTATTTTATGACGGCCTGCTGTTGGGCCTATTTTATAACTCAGTAGGTCCAACAGAGCCCAGCTCACAGTGGACAGTTTCAGATGCATGATCACTTGATGCCCCAGGATCAAACCAGGGTCCAATAGTATGCCAGGGCCTGTTTCCCAAAAAATCATATACTTCCCAGCTGTGGATGGCCTGACCTTGCTCCAGAATCCCAGGGACCTACATTGTAATTCTCCCACTGGGGCTTGCGATAAACTCCTTAGTATATTTTTACCACCATCGACCCCTCCAACATCATAGGGTGTACCAAATCATATGGTCCAACTGGATGGTTCTGTGAACTATGATCTGGACCTGCTGCAGAGCACTTTCCCACTCCTGGCCCCACCAGACCTGGCATCCTTCCATGCCACCCAGTTAATATACCAGAGCAGTGTTCCTAGGTGTGGAACACATTGCCTCCAGAATGCTATGAGACCTACGTGCTTCTTTCTTTGTGATAGGGCATGCAAGACGCAGCAATTTGTCTTTTATTCTGGGTGGGCTATTCCAGGCCAATTCTGACCAGAAACCTCACTGATGTAGTAGAGTCTCTGACTCTTCAAAGTGTACATGTCTTACCAAGGTCTCTACAGTAGCAACCACCCCTGGCTCATCCTATCTGATCAACATGATACCACTCTGAGGGAGGTTAGTGACAGAAGGAGGACCAAGTCCAGGATCAGCCCACCAAAGCCCTTCCAGCAGAATCTCTCAGCTGACCTGGATTTGCAGCCACACCAGGACCCAAGGATTCTTCCTCCCCTGACACCTCTCCCGACACCTCTCCCAGCCTCAGACCCAGCAAAACCTCCACTCACAAAACCCACACAGATTTTAGGAAATTCTCCTTCATCACCTTCGACAGACCTGACTTACCTAGTGTATCATCTTCTTGGGTGTTATTGTGAAATAGATCAATCATGGCATCACAGACTTCTCGGCATGGGTATTACTCCTCTTTGTTTTCAAAGGGCTGTTGGAAAAAAATAATAAGCAGTGTGTTTTGTCACAAGGTCTGTGACAAAACAGACCTTGTGTATGGGTCTGTCGGGGAAGAAGGAGGCTGATGGATGATAAGATGTGTTGGAAAGGATTTAAGGGAAGGAGGGTGTAATATGTGTGAGGGCTGTGCTAAAATAGAACTGGATCGTGATGATGCACAGAGAAGGGAGAGAGCTGAGCTTCCATGTGCGGTACAGGAGCCTGCCTGGCCCTGGATGCCAGTTATTGGAAGATCCAGTGATGAACAACGAAGGAGCACCACAGTTGTTGCAAGACTCCCCAGCCAAACACTGCACGTCTTCTCTGCCCCAACTCCAAGACTTAGCAGCAAACTCTTCCCAACAGCCTGGAGGGTCAAGGCTGGAGTCTGGTGTCTTTGGCAGGACAACCATTCTAAAGAATATAACTGGTTCACTCTGGACAGGACCCCTCAGAGTCCTGGACCTCCTCTCATACACACATATGCATATGCACACACACACACACGTGCACACAAAACAGCATGTTGGCTCATGCTGTCCATAGATCACACTCTGGTACAGCCTCCACTTTAACAAAAGCAGCACTTAGTGACCACCTCTTGCTGATGAGTGTAAGTGTAAACAGGAATAAATATCCCAGGAACACTAAAAAATAAATAAAATAAAAAAATAAAAATAAAAAAGGTTGTAAGCACTAAGCAAGTAAGCAGAGGTTGTAGCCCCCAATTACTGCCAGGCTATAAATCAGAAGAAATGCATGCCAAACTTCTTGATCTGATGGAGGGGTCAGAAGGTCCTCAGATTAGCCACTGTTGTGAGTTGTCTACTCCTGCTCCCTCTCAATCAACCAAATCAAAGACCTTGACTTTAAAAAAAAAAAAGAAAAAAAGATTGGGTCTAGGATGTGCAACTGACCAGAGAAGGAAGTACACTGGGGCACAGGGAGAGAATGACTCATCCCAAGGTCACATAGTCTAGTTGGTGGCAGAGCTGGTGAACTGGATCAGGCTGATAACCAGTTAAAGGCAGTTTCTCCTGCTCTTTAGGAATAGCACATGGGCTGTATACTTGTGTGCACCAGCACGCTCAGCTCATTTTAAAATGCTTTGTAGAAATGGGGTCTTGCTGTGTTACCCAGGCTGGCCTCAAACTCCTGGCCTCAAGTGATCTTTTTGCATTGGCCTCCCAAGCCCTGGGATTACAGGTGTGAGCCACCACACCTGGAATCACAGAGGCTGACCTGAACCCTGTAATGATTCATTGAAGAGAAGGACATGCTGGTAAGGAAGAGGTGCTGCTCTGGGGCCAGGAACTGGTCCAACACCAGTGTTCCACCAACCTCCAGGCCTGGTGCTCATGCTCAGCTACTCTCAGCATGGCCCCAGAGCTTATTAATGCACCAGAACCCTGTACCTTCTGAGCCTTCTGATCCACCCCAATCCCCAAAGCTGAGGCACGTAACAGGATATATTGGGTTGGAACAATGAAGAGAAGTTTGCTGAGCCCCACAAAAACTCCACTGTGCTTCCGAGAATGGAAATAGGGTCTCTCCTGGTTCCCTTTCCAGTAATTCAAAAATAATAGCTACTAACAACTACCAATTATTCAACATTCTGTGCCAGGCAAATACAATGTGTGATTTACACATATCCCTTTATTTAATCTGCAGGAAAATCGTGTTAGGTAAATACATCGTCCCATTATACAGGTGAAGAAACTGAGACTTAAAATGTTTACATAACATGGACAGGTCACCCAGTGGGTAGATGCACAACCAAAATTCAAACCCAGGCCAGCATAACTACTAAGCCTAGCTCTTAACCCCTCCACCATCCTAAGGAGTTCCTGGTTTGTCACGCCAGGGCCTGCTGGGCAGGAGCCCACTGTGCAGAGAGCAGATGGGCATGTACTTTCAGAGCAGAGTCTGCTTGGGTCTGACAGCACACAGTTATCTCATCCTAGGCAGTTGTGTGGACTTCAGGGCCCAGGACAGTAGTGAGCGGAACCTCAGCAGGCTGCAGAGCCCTAGACCTCATATTCTTTCAGTCCACAGGCCACTCTGGAAAGAATTTGCTCTCCTAGAGTTTAACATCAAGATATAGCATCTTGGCCAGGTGTGGTGGCTCACACCTGGAATCCCAGGCCTTTGGGAGGCCAAGGCAAAAGAATCACTTGAGGCCAGGAGTTTGAGACCAGCCTGGGTAACATGGCAAGACTCCATCTCTACAAAGTATTTTAAAATTAGCTGAGCATGGTAGTGCACACCTGTAGTCCCAGCTACTTGGGAGGCAGAGACAGGAGGATCAGTTGAGCCTAGGCGTTTGAAGTTGCAGTGAGCTATGATCTCACCACTGCACTCCAGCCTGGGTGACAGAGTGATACCATGTCTCCAAATAAACTTTTTTTTTAAAAAAAGGCAAATTTCAAACAGAAATAATAATGATTCTCTTGGATTATGGAGGAAGCCACTGCCAGAGGCCCATTCACAGTAAACCAGTATAGAGTGTCTTCAATTTTAAACTGTTTAAGATTAAGTTTTGGCCAGGCACAGTGGCACAAGCCTGTAATCCCAGCACTGTGAGAGGCCAAGGTGGACAGATCGCTTGAGTCTAGGAGTTTAAGATCAGCCTGGGCAATATGGCGAAACCCCACGTCTACTAAAAATACAAAAAAAAATAGCCAAGTGTGGTGGCACACACCTGAGGTCCCAGCTACTCAGGAGGCTGAGGTGGGAGGATCACTGGAGCCCAGTAAGTCAAGGCTGCAGTGAGCCATGATCACACCCCCACCTGGGCAACAGAGTGAGACCCTATCTCAAAAAAGCAAAGAAGATTAAGTTTTATAAAACCTTGAGACGCCCTGAAATCTTATGGCTCATATGTGGGGGAAAAAAAAAAAAACTTGATAGAGGTTTTCCCAAGTTGGCCAATAATCCTAAAAATTTACATAGCATTATGTATAAAGATGTGAAGCTAAAAACAAAAACCTCTCTAAATTATCAGTAGAAATTTAATCAATAATATGAAAGACTGAATTGTCTTTCTAGTCTCATGTAGAAAATGATTTTACAAAATGATTGTCACATAAAGCAAAATCATAGAGCCAGGAAAACATAGAAAAATAAAAACTATAGTTGTATCACCCAATTAATAACAATATTTTCACTTTCCTAGCTTTTGCAATGTTTGTGGTATTTGTCAACTTTCTGAAATTTATAATTTGCTCTAAGTCTTTTCTCGTTCTAAGTGAATATCCACTTTCATGTGTAGTTTTGTGCTGTTGATTTTTAAGTCTTTTTCTGAAAGGAAGTCCCCCCAGAAAGTGTCAGGGCCCACAACCCCTTTATCCAGCCCTCATGCTCTTGCTGATTTTGCCCATGGTTTTGCCTACACCACACCCTCGGTCTGGCATCCCCTTTCATATCTTCTCTGCCTAGAAAATTCCTAACCCTTCTTCAAGGCCCTACTCAAAAGTCACCTCCTCTGTGAAGCCTTCCTTGACTAGTTCAAGAAAGTAGAATTCTCCCTGCACTCCAGAACACCACAGCACTTTCTTAGCTCTCTCTCCTTGGCATCTCATGGCCCTGGAATCACGCTCTGCAGAAGCCTCCTCCACCAGCTAGGCAGGAGGCTCCCAGGGCAGCCACAGCAGGAGCTCCCAGAGAACGTGTCTGCGAGGTGCAGTAAAGGCCCCGGGCATGGAGGGGTGGGGCTGGAGCTAACACAAGGCCTCCCAAGCCAAGAGTGCAAGGTTCTAACTCCCTATGTGACCCTGGGCAAAACCTGTATTTCCTTTGTCTGAGAAGTCTGTGTCTTCTCATCTGTCAGAGGAGAAAGGAATTACTGCTTCACAGAGATAATAGATGTGAAAGCCCAGAGAAAGGTAGGAAGTGCTATGTCAATGTAGGGGGATTTGTGTTATGATTGTTGACAGATTCAGGTTTGCTGGCAGGAGACACTGAGCTAAATCCTGCGACTTAGAAGCCCACATCTCTCACCAGGCACACCTCAGTTTATAGAAGTGGGTGGTGGCGCTGCAATTTCAGCTTCACAGGGTGTGACAGCCACCAGATTTAAAACTGAATGTCAACTGCACAATGGGAAGGAGGCGCCCTGGCTCCCAAATGTCCCTGAGGCGAGAGCTCAGCCTTCAGGTGAACTCGACTTCCTAGATGGTTCTCAGCAGAGGGGAAACAGAGTCCCTGGCTCCAGTCTGAGCCCCTTCCTCCTCCCTAGTCCAGCCCACTCATCAGCATGAGCTCCAGGCATTCATCTCAAACCTGAAAGCAGCTGGAGGTAAAAACAATAAAAATAATAAGTTATGCTTGTCCCCACACCAAACTCCACCCTGGAAATACTGCTGATACCAACATCTGCCATTGACTTCTCGCCCTCATCCAAAAAGACAAATTTTTATCAATACAAATCCTGCCTAAGATTGGCTTTTTTTTTAAATGCATACACTCATTTCCCCCAGCACTGTGGAGAAGCAGGGCCAAAGGTCAGTGTTTGATTTGTAGCAAGAGGTGTGTGCACATCTGTGTCTCCCTGCCATGGATTCAGGCCCCCAGAGACTCTCCAGTGACCAGCGGACGGGCCCAGCAATTCCCCCTCCCTGCCCAGCCATTCTCACTTTTCTTCCACCATTTGGTGGACAGGCCTTCTCACTGATGCAAGCCATGGCAGAGCAGAGTCTATGGCTGGTTTGTCTTTAGAAACTCCCCCCATTCTCCCTTTTGGGAAGGAGAGTGAGCTTGCAAAAGCAGCATAGCACGGTGGTCAAGAGAGCCTTCGCTCTGGAGCCCAACTGTCCCAGTTCAACTCCAGCCACATGTTTATTAGCTGTGTGATCTTGAGAAAGTTACTTACCCTCTCTGTGACTCTGTTTCATCATCTGTAAATCAGGAAAATTAATAGTATCTTCCCAAGATGTTGTGCAGATTAAGTGAGTTAATATCATAATGTGTTTTGGACCAATGTCAAATGTGTGTATGTGCCTGGTAATTGTCAGCTTCTTCCTTGAAAACATAACGCCACATGGGCAGGGATTTCTACCTGTTT